GATTCCCTAGATACCTTGAGATCTTGTCATTTCGGCGAGTTACTAATGCACCAAGAGGATCGACAAAAGAATGCTTTAGACAGCAAATCAATTTATATCACCGTGAATACAAAAGCTAAAAACGCAGGTTTGTACGATGTAACCGGGATCATTTCGCTGCGTCTGTACATGTGCATACTGCATTTGATGTGATCATTAGTATATGGTCAGAAATCATAAAACCAAAGACAGAGAAAGGTTGCGGCATGCAGTATGCATGTACAGTTGCAGTGAACTGATCCAGGACACATTGTGAAAACGTGCTTTTGGCTTTTCTATTCAAACTCATGAAGGGGAAACTGTTTCCAATTACATTAACTTGTTATAAATGATTCTTGATCCGACAGCAACAGCAGAGAATGAGGATAGCTAGTGGATAGTGTGCACTGTTGACGGACTCGTGCTTTGGATGGTACTAGTGGTAATATTTGGATAATACTCGGCAAGAGCAGAGCTGTATGCCACCGAGCGCGTCCCCAGGTGGCAGATAGGTGAACGACCTCTAACTGGCGGTTAACTGTGAATAAGGTGGGTTCATTCTCACTGAATAAGTGGTTGCGGACGATCAGCGGCAGTGCTGGAGGATGTGGTGGGTTTACCAATTGGCAAGGATTCTCCACACAAAACCACTTGTATTTTATGACAGCGCCGTGACGTGATGAGTGTGGCCCGCCATTGAATGCGGCCATTGCCCCTTGTAGAGTTCCATCTAACCGTGAAGGTCTTCCAGAAAAGGTGAGTGAACCAACCGACCGGTCACCGGCTTATCTGGAAAATTACAGCTGCCTTGTAGATCGCGCTTGGTTGCGTAAAGGCTAGAGTACATCCTCGAACAAGACCTTCTCTGGGCTGGGCAACCGAGTAGTACAACAGACCACAATGCAAGCAATGAACTTCAGCTCAATTAATAACTCGCTATTTCAGTTCTCGCACATGAAACAACGCTTTACACCGTGCACCTCTTCCTTCTATCCAGCTTTTCCTCCACCTCACATTCATCCCCCTCAAACATTACCATTATTATCAAGATCTCCAGACAATCGAACTGTTGTATTCAGTAAAACTCGTAATATGCACGTAAGTAAATCCTTTTAATTAGCAGAAAACGTGATTCACGTAATATAGCAGAAGTATGTCCTCAGCCGGTACTGGCCGTACAAGTAATCAGCAGTCCTCCAATCAATACCAAGCATACACGTGGTGCAGTCTGATCGGTCAATGTAATCAAGGTTGCATGTGCGGAACGTCCTTGTCACGTGCGTGTATCTCTGTATGTCTGTGTGTATCGAGTATTGATGTTGCGCGTTCAAGGGGGCAATGAATACAAATGTTATCGAACAAATGCTTTAAACAGCACAGCATCACCTCCTTCCTTTTTATTAGCGTTTATAATAGGTAACGGTCAACTGGTTTGGGGTTCCGGATGGAACGTCTTGGCTGTGTGTTCGATCTTACAGTAGGAGCTGTTGCTGTCATTTGATTGACAAGTTTCTTCCTGACCACTTGACATCGGGATTTTGTAGAGTTGTCTTGCGTTAACCTTTCTTCCATTCGCAAGTAGGTACGTTCCCAGTCCCATGACTTACACAACTTTGAGCGGAGGCGATAACACAGGGAGCCCCTTCTGAGTAACGTGGTTCTTAATCCGTACATGGCACCCAGCATTCAACGGTTTAGTTTCTGTTCTGTATGTATCCTGTTATGTTCTCAAGCGCTCCTTCAAATCGTGTCATTGCAGCTGGTTGGGTGAAAAGCAGCATTTAGCTTCGTTCGAATAGCCCTACCAAACATCAATTCTCCTGGTGTCTTGTTTGTCACCGTGTGTGGTGTGGTCCGGTAAGTGAACAATGCTTTAAGCAGGGAATCTTCCCAGTTCAATCCGTCCAAATGGTTTGCCTGCATACTTTCTTTCAAAGATCGATTTAATCTTTCTACCATACCATTGGCAGCTGGATTGTATGGTACTGTTCTGATTTTTCTCACACCACTAGAACTCAGGAACTGATTGAACTCGTAGCTCGTGAATTGAGGACCATTGTCTGACACGATTTCTTCTGGTTATCCGAATCTGCTAAACATATGCTTGAGCCAGCGTATAATCGACTGGGTAGTCACTTCTCCACATAGCTGGGCTTCTGGCCACTTAGTATAATAGCAGGTTGCAACCAACAAATACTTCTGGTGTACCGGTGCAATACTAAATGGGTCCATAATGTCTATGGATACCTTTGCCCATGGTCTTAAAGGGAAATCAACTGGTTGTACAGGCGCTGACACAGGACGTGAACTCTTGTCTGAATTAAGGCAGGCGGAACAGTCCGCAATGTATGAATCGACAGTAGATGAGAACCGAGGCCACCAGAAATACTCTTGAATTCTCCGTTTCGTGCGTGACATGCCTGGATGACCATCATGCGCAAACGCTAGAATCTTCCTAATGCAGTTTGACGGAACAACGTATAATGCACCCCGCATCAGACGGTCATCAACCACGGACAGTTCATGCCGGATGGAATAAAAGGGCAAATACTCACTGGAAATTTTGTTCCTTGGGGGCCAACCATCTTGTAAAAAATCTTCAATTGACTGAATATTGGATCATTTCGGTTTTACTTTCTTAATTCGTCTCTGGTCAATGCACTGTCATGATTTATCTGGAGTGCTGCAACCATGATGCGATCTTCTATCTCGTCACTGGTTTCAGTAACATTTAATGGTAACCTGGAAAGTCCGTCAGCTGTTTGATTCTGCCATCCGGGTCGATAAACGATATTGAAGTCGTAATTGAGCAGTCGGGCGTACCAGCGGCTTATTCGAAGCGGGCGATGACCTTTTGGACCACGACTGAGTAAAACTGTTAGCGCAGAATGATCAGTACGTAATGTGAAGGGGCGGCCGAAAAGGAATAAGTGCCATTTTTCACAGGCCCAGACGCAAGCAAGGGCCTCTTTTTCTCCAGCCGAATAATTATTTTCCGAGTCTGTTAATTTCCTTGAGGCATAGGCAATCACCTTCTCCAGTCCATGTTGCATTTGTGAAAAAACTGCTCCCAGCCCCACACCGGAGGCGTCTGTTGTAACATAGGTCGGACAGGTCGGATCATAGATAGCCAAGACCGGAAGAGGTGATATCCTTTGTTTTAATGTACGAAAGGCGTGTTCTTGCTCAGTTCCCCAGTAGAAAGTAGCGCCCATTTTGGTCAGTGCGCGCAACGGTTCGGCAATGGAAACAAAATCAGGTATGTAACGCATATTGTAGGAACACATTCCAAGAAAGCTCTTCACTTTTTTAGCATCAGTGGGGACAGGTGCATTCGTGATGGCGGTTGTGTTTTCTTCACTGGGTTGTACACCTTCATGGGACAAGGTGTGACCGAGAAACTGCAACTTAGGGACACTAAACGCACACTTTTGCACATTGAGACGTAAATTGAGTTCTTGAAGCCTTTGAAGCACAGCTTCGAGTCGTTTGTCATGTTGCTCCTGAGTACAGCCGAACACACAAATATCATCAAGGTAAACCAAAGTGCCGGGCATCCCGACGAAAGCCTGGGTCATAAACTTCTGCCACGCAGCGGGTGCAGAGCTCAATCTCATTGGGAGTACCTTGTACTGAAATAGCCCGTCCGATGTTAGAAAAGCTGTAAGATGCTTGCAGTCATCCGCCAGGGGCATATGGAAGAAGGCGTTACGTAGATCCAACTTTGTGAAAATCCTCGCCCCGGCCATTTGGACAAGGAGTTCTTCACATGAGGGAATAACGAATTTGTGGGCCAGGATCTATTTATTCATAGCCTGCAAATCATCGCAGATACGAACACTATCATCCTTTTTCAAAACAGAGACCATAGGATGTACCCACTCGGAAGAATCGATGTGTTCAACCAAATCATTGGATAGCATTTCTTGAATAACTTTGGATACCGCTTCACGCTTCGCCGGTGGTACTGAGCGTGGTCGACTGATAGCAAATGGTTTAGCGTGCGGTTTCAAAACAATTTGGTGTTTCCCGAAAGGAATTTGTCCGAGGGATGAATCGAATAACTTTGGGAAACGATCCCTCCACGTTGAAGAGTCAATTCTGCTGACGGTCATTTGTTGGGTATCCGGGACGACCTTCATAGCTACCATAGCATTACGACCTAGTAGTGGTTTGTTATCATGCGAAGTCACATAAACGGTGACTGGCGATCGAAATGTTTGCAGTGGCAAGTCCACAATAATGAAGCCTCTAATCTCCAGTGGTTCTTTTTTATAGCTGCCAAACTTGTAAGCAGATGGATACAACGAATACATGTAAAGATATTGTTCGTAGAAGCTTGAAGGAACCGTAGATATAGGCGAAGCGGAGTCTAATTCCGTTGACAGTGACACATTACCATGTTGTGTGTGAAAAATAACATTACGAATATCCGAGCAAGGAAGTTTGGGTTCAATATTCACTGACCCGTCAGTGGTAAAGTTTGAAACATGACGCGAAATGCAAAAAATATTCTGATTTTCTTTTTGTTCACTTGAAGTTTCGTGTACTGCAATGGCGCTACCAACACTAGATACATTCCTCTGACGACAGACACGAGCAAAGTGACCAACCTTGTGGCAGTTTTTGCACTCTGCTGATCGGGCTGGGCACGAAGAGTAATTGGCTTTGTGGGATGTACTTCCACATCGGTAACATGTGATATTTTTTATTATGCTGCTCTTCGGTGAGGGGAACAATTTAGAGACCTCAACAAGTTCACCAGAACGGACAAACTCCTTTGACTGCTTTGATATTCCATCTTTAATGAACGCTAATTCACAGGCTTTCTCCCAAGTCAGTTTATCAGCATCCTCTTTCAAGAGTGATTCACGAAGTTGATCATCTTTTATGCCGGATATGAATTGTTGAATCAACATTGATCCTTCAGTTTTCTTCTGTGGAACTTTATAAAACTCACAAAATCGTACTGCTCGGTTTAATCAAGAAACAAACTGCTTCAGTGGCTTCCCATTTCCCTGAATAATGCGAGAGAATCGGAATCGAGCAGTGAACACATTCAGTTGTGATCCCACGGAACGGTCCAAGCTGCTGAGGGCAGATTGTACGTTGGAACACGCTTGTAAATTGAGATCGTCAAATTTTCGCTGTCCTTCGTCTCCGAGCAAATGACGCAAAAGCCTTAACTTGTGGCTTTCATCCAGAACAATCAATGGATTTAGCANTCGAGCAGTGAACACATTCAGTTGCGATCCCACGGAACGGTCCAAGCTGCTGAGAGCAGATTGTACGTTGGAACACGCTTGTAAATTGAGATCGTCAAATTTTCGCTGTCCTTCGTCTCTGAGCAAATGACGCAAAAGCCTTAACTTGTGGCTTTCATCCAGAACAATCAATGGATTTAGCACAGGCATGAGATCGATATAATTGTTAAACGAAGTTTTCAATTGTTCCTAGGACTCTGGAGTAGGTTTAATGTTACGGTCTATCCAAAATGGAGCAGGTGGAGTAATTCCAGAACTCATGTTTCGACACCAAATAATGTATTCAGTAAAACTCGTAATATGCACGTAAGTAAATCCTTTTAATTAGCAGAAAACGTGATTCACGTAATATAGCAGAAGTATGTCCTCAGCCGGTACTGGCCGTACAAGTAATCAGCAGTCCTCCAATCAATACCAAGCATACACGTGGTGCAGTCTGATCGGTCAATGTAATCAAGGTTGCATGTGCGGAACGTCCTTGTCACGTGCGTGTATCTCTGTATGTCTGTGTGTATCGAGTATTGATGTTGCGCGTTCAAGGGGGCAATGAATACAAATGTTATCGAACAAATGCTTTAAACAGCACAACACGTACTACCAGTTGTGCCTTCGATGGAAATTCCGTCCCTTTTCTCTGGCGTCCTGCCACGAATAGCGTCCAAGTCTCACCGAATCTTCCTCCACCAGTTGAAGATCTTCTTCGTCCTCGATGCCCATTCAAACTAGCCACATTTAACGTGCGTACCTAGATGCGTATAGGACAACAGGCGTGTTTAGCTTGTACCCTCGAGACCCTAGCCATCGATGTGTTGTATCCAAGAGACTCGCATTCAAGACTCCAGCTCCATTATCTGATTGACGTCCCCATCAAACCCATCCGCGAAGTTTCACCTGCGTCTTTCTGGGGACCCTGAGGCTGCGACTTCTGATCTTGCTGGCATTGCCGTGGCTCTCAGTAATAGAGCTGAAACCGCGCTCCTGGATTTGATCCCAGTCGACAGTAGGTTATGCACAGTGAGACTTAGAGGCTCTTGCAAAGTAAATAGGCGTCACTCCGAAGAACGTAACTTGTTTGTCGTCTCAGCGTACGCACCTACGAACTGTAGCCCAGATACAGTCAAAGATACTTTCTACCAAAAGCTATACGACCTCTTACGTAAGGCAAATCGAACCGATATCGTGATTTTAGCAGGAGATATAAATGCTAGAGTAGGCCGACTGACTTCGAGTGAGGCGCATCTGGGTGGTCCTTTCGGACTAGATTCCTGTCGCTCGGAAAACGGGGAACGGCTGCTGACTCTATGTTCTGACCATCGCCTATTCCTCACCAGTACGAACTTCAGACGCTCCAACTGCCATTACGCCACTTGGCGTCCACCCTGGTCGAGTCAGCGACTAACCCAGATAGACCACATCGCTATAAGCTACAAATGGTGGGATTGCATTCAATACTGCCGATCGTACTGGAGCACGACTCTCAAATCCGATCGCGCATTAATATGCGTTAAGCTGTCCATGAGCTTCAGTGGGAGTCCCAAACGCACGACACATAGACTGTTAGACTGTGATAAGTTGTCCAAACCAGCTTGTCTAACTGCCTTCCAAAACGCACTAGCTGCAAAGCTAGTACCAACCCCACCTGATAACGTCAGTGAGTCCTGGTCGCTTATCAACAATGCTCTGCATTCTGCTGGCCTAGTTAGTTGTGGTCTGACACGCCGTGTCGTGACGCCGTGGATTTCCACTGAGTCTCTGTGCCTTCTTGACGCACGTCGGTCACTTCCGACCGGCAGCGAGCATAGCATAACACGGCTTGTAATGAGACGTGAACTTAACGTAAGTCTACGCAGAGATCGCCAGATCTGGTGGTCTCAACGCGCACCAGAAATGGAACGTGATTCCGCCGTGGGTAATTCCCGTAAGCTGTTCCATTTCATCCGAGTCACCGGTAGGAAAGCCTTGGGTGTGAGCGAAACGATCAATGAAGCTAACGGCTCACTTATGCACAATCAATAGCGACGTCTTGAATGCTGGGCGGAGCACTTCAAAGCACAGTTTAGCTGGCCTCCAGCGTCAGCTTCTCACACAGATATTCAGGCACACGTTCCATGGTCCGTATCAACAGACGGACCTTCTGAGACGCAAATCCATAAGGAGATCCAAGCCTTGGGATGTCACAAAGCGCCGGGCTCTATTTAAAAATGGTGGAATAAAGCTTGTTAGAGAACTCTACGTTCTGTTCTCTAAAGTTTGCAACACTGAGCAGGTCCCCTCCTTGTGGGGGGGAGTCGATTTTCGTCCCCATCTTTAAAAAGGGTCCGCGCAATGATTGCGTCAATCATAGGGGTATAAGCCTGATCCCAATAGCGTCAAAGTTGTTAGCGTTCGTCATTCTTCGTAGATTGTACAAAACGCGCGACGAACATGCCCGTGAGGAGGAGGCTGGGTTTCGTGCCGTTCGTGACTGCATCGAACAAATCTTCACCCTCCGACGGCTGCTTGAGCACCGTCATGCTTACCGTAGATCAACGATCATTGTGTTCTTAGACATTCGCGCGGCCTTCTATTCTGTTGATAAAACCGCACTATGGAGGTGTTTGGTGATTAATTGAGTAGCTGAAAAGTGTGTCAATCCTCAGAGAGTTGTATCGCCATACCTCAGGTCGGGTTAGGGCTTATGACCAGCTTTCACCACCCATCGCCGTCTCCAGTGGAGTTCGACAAGGTTGCCCCATATCCCCTTTCCTTTTCAACTTCGCCATAGAGGATGTTCTGCAGGACGCTTTGTCCGGTCTGGCAGGCGGGGAGTCGAACTNTTGGCGTAGAATATGTCGATGACATTGCCTTGTTGGGTGACAATGCACAGGCAGTCCAACAAGCTTTACACCACTTAGGGATAGAGCTATCCAGGGATGTTATGTGCTTTGCACCATCAAAGTGAAAAGTGCTTGTTCAAGACTGGTAGGAGCCTGTGCCTGCACTCACCCTCTGTGGTGATCAGCTGGAAATGCTCGAGAGCTTGATCGCAGCTGGCTGGGGTATTCGGGAGATCATATCACGAATAGCGAAGTCTAGAGCAGCTTTTGACAACCTGCGACACCTGTGGCGCCGCCATGACATCCGACTGTCCCTTAAGGGAAGGGTGTAATATCGTCGCGGTCCGTAGTGTTCTGCTTTACGGTTGTTAGACCTGGCCTCATTGGTTAGAGACGCTGAGAGATATGACCCAGAATAGAAGTCAGTGGCGCGAATGATGTACGGTTTTACCTGTCGAAATCCTGCGCCCCGTAAAAATAATTTAAAAAATTATCAAAGTGTACGGTGGAACACAAAAACATTTTTATCCCAGTTTTCTCCTATTTTCCCGTATGGAACTTTTTAACACTCTTTCCACCTATCCCCTATTCTTGTTATTTTCAATATCGTTATGGTGTTGGCTCCATGCTTGTTCGCAGGCCGGGGTAAAATATATAATACATGTGTAATAAGAAAGGTTATTTTTATTCTGATTTTCTGTTATTCAGTGGGAATATCAGAATTCGATTCGTGGAATTCGCTGCAGGTTCTTCCACTGGCGTAGACTTGACTCGCCCAAAAACCTAACAGCTTTAATGAAGGCCCAAAGCAAGACAAAATGGACCGATCACTCCTTTTTTATAAATGGTACTGACGTAAACGATATGTATGTTAGTATCGTCTTGCTGAGGAAGCATAGAACTATGCCATCTTCCAGGATGGTAACTTTGAGATTGTTCCTGCTGTGCTCCTGGACAACTCAGTTGTTTGCTTTCATTCAAGAACCTCCAGCTACGATTCGAAGTTCGTCGAAGACTAGGCAGCCGGGATCAATTGTTCTCTTTTGCATCTCACACCGGAATAATGTCAGTTCGTCAGTCATGAAGCCGATATTTTCCAACAGTAGATATTACGTTCATAGTCCTTCATTTGATGTGATTTATTTTACCTGATGGACTCGATCCGTAATAAGGAATCCTGTAATCCAGGAAATTACTACCAACCTTTCATGGGGCAAATGCAGTGCAACTCACATCACTTGCAGTAACTAAGGTCTTCTTGTATCCCAATGCATGAGACTGGAAAACCGGGAATAAATCAATTTTCGATTCTGTGCACTAAACAGTTGCCCAATGATCTTCGAAGAAATTTTCTTCATATTGTACCTTTAGGAAATTGAGAATAGCTTTCGTCGGTTAATAATTTTCAGCCACCTTGCTCATTATTATACTTGAGTTTCTTTAGGCATCCATTTTCCCGTCCCGATTAATATGACATTGGTTATAACATTCAATTTTTCGTTGATGTACAATCTACTTCCGCAGTACGGTTCGAATTGCTCTGTGAGCTCCAATTACTTATCATTCACGATGTGAGACAGCCTATCTCGTCTGTCTACGAGTACAGTTCCGGTCAAAAGGTGTGACTCTTTCAGTACATTCTTGAGCTGTAGCGTGCACTTTTGTAGGCGTCCGACAGATAAGTTAAAAGCATAACGCATCCTTCCGGCAAATTTTTCAGCATCGAATCAACATTTTAATTCAGAGCGCGATAAATTTGAGACAAATACAAACGCCCACCCAGGTTTATAATCCTACAATGAAATGCAGAAAATGAAGGCGCGCTAGCAGCATTTCGTTGAATATAACCTGCTTAAACAGCAGCAGCATACAGAACGTAAATGTTGTACCGTTGAAGAGTGGAAAATGCACTAAGTCGAAGCAAAGGTTCATGGAACAGTGGGACCAAATGCGGACGATTCATGCGATGAAGTCTTGGACAAACCCTGAACGACAATGATAGAAAGTATGTGTATTGGCTCGCTCAACAGTGAATAGAAATAAACATGAAAGGACAATCCGTTTATAGATAACCCAGTCTAGTGGATCATTCCTTTCAAAGGTGATTCGTTATCACAAACAATAAATGAGTGCCCTAAACCTGCCAAGGTTATAGAATTACGTTGCTCGCCTATGCGACTATATTTATCAATTCGTTCGATGAAACAACCACTACACGACGCTTGATCGAACGGACACATTAGAGACCACTCCAGTTGACCTGATCATGGATTGATGGTAAACCTTTTCAATCTCTTGATACTCGGTGATTGGCAACGCAAACCCCACTCAAAATATTCCAATAACACAGATCTGTGATTGCTAGTCAGTCCTAATTGACAGTCACGCATATCCAGATTAAGTTTCGATAGATTGTAAGGAACCATCCGACTGCCATTAAAGTCTACTGGCGAAGGCAAGCAAGTTCCAGCAATTAATCTCCATGTTTGTTTGTTATATGCATTTTCGAGACATTTCCCGATCAATCTTATCGGTTTCATCTAGCTTATCAGACTATTTTTGTCTAGATTAAGTAACGAAAAAGGTACACCAAACCCTACGCTGTTAAAGGAACCGATAGGGAGGTCCCTCCATTCATTATCACAAACCTGATCTTCGGAATAGGCCTCCGTACTCTACTCACAATTTTATCACAATACCTTCTCGCTCGTACAACAGCAAATTTCCATGCTCCTTGAGACAAAAGCTCTTTGCTCCCCAAAAGCAATCATCCCATCACCTAATCAAATAAACAAGTACATGAAACCGCTAAATCCGACTAGTTGTACACATTCTTTTCACGCGAAATCAAGTTGAACTTCGACGCTTCATGGGGGCACAGTTAGCTATTGATTCACACATTTGGCCTTATGGAATCGATAAGCATGGCGAACATTTGACCTAACTGACAGAATGCTGCATCGATGCCTGCTATCCGCTCCCAATCGCCCAGCAACCGAATGGCCCGTGAGGGCTGTTTGATCCCGGCAGTGCCGTATGAACGATGGCGTTCTCATAATTGCACCCATCTTCCCACGGATTTTGGATTTGTCCTAGATCTGCGATAAACATCATCCTACAGGTGAGGACACTACTCTCCATTTCTCGACATCTCTCTCCAGTTTCTATCTAACCACCCCCTTTAACCATCAATTATTAACACGACCGGCTTTTTATTTGGCGCTCACCTATGTGGGTCGTGTCAACTATGTTTGTTCCAGTTCTTCCGAAACCGGTGTTCCCTCCATATCACTCTTTTACCCTCTTCAATTGAGATTTTGGTTGCATACCTATTGTCCCATCTATCCACCGAGTGAAACCGTAAAAGTTGGTTTCCTCTTTTTTACTATACACCTCGTGTGACCAACAGCAGATAGGGTAAAACTCGTAGTCACGAGGGGCTATTGCCCACTCATGGACACCGGCAACCTAAGCCCCGAGACTGGGAGTGGCAAATCACATAAAAACTGTCCAGGCGCGGAGCGTTAACTTAGCTGCACCGAGACGCGCCTCAGGGGTTGCGCACAAATTTGGTTTTCTCCCTACTTTCCTTATTCACGCCTGTTCACCTCCCTCCAGTCAAAACTAGAATTCGATCAAGTGTTCTTCCCATGGTGGAGCTTCCGTTTGATCGGATTTAAGGTCAACCGAATGGTCACTTATCCATTTTTAACCTTCAAACCACAGGTGCGTCCCTGTTACCAGGTACTTGGATCATTATCTTCTACCTCATGATTTTTCCTATCCATCATGTTTGTCCCTCGATGCCGAACCTAACTTATTTACACGAGTGCGAAATTTTTGACACCATTTTTCTTTCACGTTAACTATCCACCAACTTTCTCTATTAAAAAGTACAAACAACAAGAATGGTTGCTGTACAAATGATCACTTCACCTTACTGTACATCCTCCATTCATCACATCACAATTCATGGTAGCTATTTCACGTCGTAGTATCAGTTCAGTTCACTGCATACTTCAGAATTTGACGCTCAAGCCATCACCAACATAGTCCTGAATTACAAGCGGCGATAAGCTTCATTTTGGACACGATCGATCGTAATGCTTTCGATCAGGTTTATGAGCAGCAGTTCTTGGATTTTTCATTACACACATTCGTGTGATAACAGTAGACAGAGTAAACCCAACAGTCACGAGGACCCGCTGTTTAGTGATGAATATCGGTAACCTACGCCCCGGAACTTGGAGTGGCGAAACACATAAGGCTTCGGACAACAGCAAAGATACCTACCACTAAATTTGGGTTGCGGTCGCTGCGCTCGAACCTCGGACCATAGGGCCTAAAGCACGCCGGTGATATCCAAATAAATAATGTACAACTGTGCAAGCTTGTAAAGGAAATTGAATCGGATCGACAAATGATCGCCTATACTTAACGAGGAATAAATAACCTTCACTGATCTACATCTCGCTCATTCAGCAGTGACCAACAACTGACATGTAGCTGCAGATATAATTTCACTAGTTAATCGAGATATACTTGTGACTGATCACGCGCTCATCTACGAGCACCCAGTAAGAAACGCCCCAAACAGACATGCCGATCACACCTCTTGAAAAGCCATAATGTTTCTCAACAGGGATTTAGTACCGGTATTTTAGCGAGCAGAACTTGATACAAACCCAAGAAAGGCGAACGAAACGAACTGGTTGAGAACAATAAGCCAGTGTTTAAACTGCCAGCGCGAATGCAGTCATGCAACTGGGCACGGAGTGGTCTGTGGACAAGTTATGTATCCCCGCGCATCACAAATGACTGAGTTGTTGGTCATTTTTGCGTGACGAGGCGCAGTGACACAGGAAGCATGCGCTATGATACACAGCACAGTGGGATTGATGGTCTGCATGCGATGTGACCGACCGGCAGTTGGTAGACTATACGGTATTCATCGCTCGAAATGCATTTTAATAGGTGGATTGTGTGATGCCAGCAGGCATCCCTCGATACGCTGGACCCCCACGTCCAGATCCCGAATCGTATCTGCCGCCACGGGGACCACCAACACGTCGCGGCGCACCTAGACGATGGAAAAGGGGGCAATACGTAAGGTGATCAACCGCTGTGAGGAATGGAGATGGTATGCAACCATCTACAAACTATTTGAAAATTATCAGTGTTAGTTGTGCACAACGATAGGTGAGGTAGATTAGTTCTAACTCCACAAAATGACATGGTGTTTAAGATATACCAAAACCCATTCTTGTAATAGAAGCATAATACCTGACAGTGCATGTTCCTCGAAACAATGGTTACACAGTAAATAAAATAAAAAGGAGCTGATTTCCGGCGACCCATTAACCTGCTGGAACATTACGATTTATATGAATCTGAGTAAGTGGAAGTAAGTTTTTCTTCCGGGAGCTTTGCTGAAACTGGAAGAACGGGAACAACCGATTGTCAATTTGTTTCGAGAACTGTTAAGCTCTCCATTTTCGACCCTAGCACATTGGTCCAAAAAATGAAAGATCCTCTAATCCATGAAATGTGATGTGTGCAATTAAAGTGGTTGTTTATTGACTGGTTTTAGGGTAGTCGGTTGGAGTTAATTTATCGGTAATGGCCCTGAAAATTCATCTTATGCAATTCTCCAACAGGTAGTCCGACAAGGCTTCGCCCACTAGATGATCGAGGTATTCACGTATAAAACGCACTCTGTACGATTCATGTGTAAAGTGCTTGTTCAAGACTAGCAGGTGCGTGCTCCACCACTAACCCTTTGTGGTGAACAGCCAGAGATTATTGAGAGCTTTCAGAACTTCGGGAGTTTGATCGCAGCTAGAAAATGCTGGGGAAGAGGTCACATCGTGAATGCCGAAGGCTGGAGCAGCTCTTACCAACCTGCGACACCCGTAGCAAGGCCATGATATAAACCTCCGACTTGTTAGCAGGCATGGTGCCGAACAATAATAATGTGCCATATATTTTTATCACCAGATCAATTTTCAGCTCTTATGTCACGAAAACTATGGTGAATTGAGCACTTCTCATTCAAAACATTCTGTTCAGTTCAATTTTTAGAAGTTTTAACCATGCACCTTCGTGCGACGGTTTTGGTTGCTGTCTTTAGGTTGATTGTTTGGATAAGAGTAGAAGAGTGAGATGTTGCGAGTAGATTCAAACAGAAGATAGAGAATTCACACAGAAGAATAACGCATGGATGCATGAGCGCCACTGTGACACTCAGCCATATAACTCAGTGTATCTAACCACCGGTTACGATGATCTAGGAGTCCCCATCTAAGAAGCCTAACGCAGTCTATTTGGGAAAGTTCTTTCTGATAAAGTATCAGGCAAAAAATGACGATAATCAACCAGAGAACCTACTGTCAGTACTCACCCGTAAAACCACCCCGGTTTTGTCCACCTCTACCACCACCGCGGAATTCGCCCTGACCGCGACCTCGAGCCGAACCACCTCGCCCGAAAGAACCACGAGTACCAGGGAGCATAGCATGATAACCGTTCTGAGTGATTTCTGCTGAGGCATCTGTGTCTGTATGAGAACCTGTGTACGATTCTTGCTTGCGAATCTCAATTCCGGTTGGTTGAGGATGGATTGGTGGTCGATGATAGCCCTGACGACGAACAAGATCTGCATAGGAAACAGGTTTCGATGAGACAGGAGCAGACAGCTGTAACTCCTCCTCGTCCTCGTGATGAATTTGTTCGGGGATCTCCTCAACTGGTAAATCCCGACCGGTTTGAGTTGAGAGCATCTCCACATGAGGCTCCACTGGAATGGTATAATTTGTCGGGGATTTGTTCTGAGTCACCGGTGTATAACATCTCTCAACAGCTACCGGTGATGGCTCCATCGACTGATTCGTTGGATGAGAATCAAGACGCTGACGGTCAGAAACTCCATTGGTTGCCGATATAGGAGGAACTTCTTCGCGCACAGGTGATTGGATCAACATTATCGGATCCGGAGCAACAACTTTTGAAGCCTTAAAAGAAAGAAAATTAAAAAGCACGTCAGATCTGATACATTTTGCAACTGTTCATTAAGTTTTGGCCCGAAATGGCCATTCTATCGGCTGTTGTTCGCGTAATAATTCAAATTTTTTTAGAAATGACCCCTATTGTATTTTACTCCAGGAAGTGCTAATCGCTGTTCGGAGAATAGTATTTCCACGTCACGGAGAGGTTGATAAGCCGACCTCTGAAAGGAGGCTGAATTCCTGGAGAACAAAACACTTCGGATATGCTCCCAACCTTGAATGTCGTACTTTAACTTCAACGAAGCGTGAGAACTGGATTCAGGACACCCAAGTACACCGGCTTCATCGAATGAGGGTGTCAGGAAAAGTAAACTGAACCTTAGACGTGCGATATCTGTTTAATCGAAGAGTAGATGCCGAGATTTCACACACCTCTCGCTCTCGTGGGTCAGAATTCTGATAGCCCCGGTGGTGGATATCCAGGAAAATTACCTTGCGGTATCGCGCCTCCAAATAGATCTCACATTTGTCTCACGAAGCATCTCCGTAATTGGTTCAACCGTCTGGACTTGGAAGCGTGTGAACGTGTGGATTTTCACCCACACTAAAATCGTTGGAGTAAGAAAGTGCTCTAGAAGGCAATACCACGAGATCCCTCAAAGTCAAACAGTCTCAAAGAATGAGGTTCGCTTGTGGTCACTTGAGCGTGTCTTTTCCAGTTGACGACCTCAACCGGCTACGAAATGTTTGATAGCCAATCAATAAACACCGAACTGACATCCTATATATTAAGCTTAAAGTTTCTGCAAAAGGCCTAGGCCACTCATTGGTCAGTAGATCGTTTGTTAAAGCAGCCATTATCAATGCCAAATTACGAGAGAAAACGTGAGTAATTTACCTAGGCTTATCGTTTTTCACAGTGCATTCGACGAAGCAGGCAGAAATAAACACTGGTCTTTCCGCGGAATTATTAGCTGTCTTTTAAATTACTTTCATTCAATTTTTGGGCAAGGTCACCGCAGATCATAGGGGTAATGCGTATTCATGCGAAACAGATTGATTTATTCCAATTCAGATTTCTTTCATGAAACCGGTTTCATGGATTTCAGAAGTTTGAAAAATGGCACAAACAATAATACTGACTCTTCGATGATGCGTATCTAGCCCTTGGACACCCTAATTCTACTCGTAGAAAAACGGTGATAGCTGTGGTCTTACTGGAAAATGGGTTAGATTCGCATACGTGTTCATGCTTTCTATGATGGCTTGCCGTTGCGGAGTGATGATTCGTCGGGGAAACAACTACTTTTGATCTTGACCACAATTCAATCGCGACTGCTTGTACAGGGACTACTACTTGTGGTGGACTAACTTCCAATCTATCGGTGACCTTTGGACGCATCTGATAGCGTACCGCCCTGTTGTTCGACCAAGTACTTGAATGATAAGTCGATTACATGGCTATCATGTCCTGACATACCATTGAAAGATTCCACGGAATAAGTTATGAAGGTGTTCCCGGCACTGTCCAGAGCATTTAACCGGTCTTGTGGTTCGAGATCGCACTTCTGGCATCAGCACACCCAAATCTCACCTGAGACATGTTACTCACTCTATAAGTATTGTTTCATTACGCTGTTAGTGTGATGAACAGCAGACGCGGTAAACCACATGGTTCCGCAGACCTGTGATTCAATGATGAAGATCGACAACCTAAGCCCCGGGGTCTTGGAGTGTCCAACCGTATGAGGCCCCATTGGGAGGACCTGTTCTGGTAGACAGAACGCGATAAGAGCTGTGCGGTCTACACTTGCGCGAAGAATCGAAGTGGAAATTTTGTCCACCGACCACTAATTCGAGCAGCACAATCCACCTTAATCTGGCTTATTCAATTATTGAGCAATTCATGAAAGACGATCAAAAACGACTCTGATGAAATTTCATCATAGTTCAAAAGCGAAGGCGACGCTTGAGTACAGTGTGCTCAGTGAACTAGTGAGACGCCCGTTATGAAACCGATTCCCAGAGATGGTCGGATAGAAAACCCACGAAGGGAAAAACAGCAAGATATTTTCATGCAACTAGTAAAAAAATTAAACGCAACACGCCAAACTACTCGTGTTTCCAATCCGGTTGAATGAAATAAAAGCTAAGCAACTCAATTGTCCACCACCTTGTTCAAATGACTCATTGTAACTCCTATGTTTCTTTGTTTTACATGATCATATAAATGTGCGTTTACAACTGAATGAGTAAGCGAGATTGATGGCTAATATCAATTATACCCTCCAATGTCATCTTGTGTTGATGAAAAGCTGAGTCGTTGTCCGTGGCAGACTTCACAAACCATCACGCCAAAAACTGTGAAATTGCAATGCACAACAGTGGATGCCGCTCCAAGGAAAATAAAAGGTTGTTCCTGAGTTAAGAAGATCACTGCATCAAGTGACTAGGTACCTTTCAAGTTTATTCTTTGATCAGCTTTTCTGCATGACATAACATAGCAAATGTCTCCAAAAGCCTCACTAGCAGGCGGCCGGTGTATGGAATTGTGACTGATCACCCTTGTACCCTACTACCAATTGCCTCTGCTGGGGAAGCCCTAACAATTGCCTTCTCGCAGCGTTTTCTCACCAAAGTGAGGACAAAATGCCAACATTCGGGGCTACAAACGAGTCGATGAACCGCCTAAGATAGTTGGCTAAAAACTCCAAACTAACCAAGAAAAAAACGAACCACACATCCTGGATGAGGCAGTGGTTACCGGCCTGATTAGGTATCGAGGTGTACAGGGTCCAATAAACGTTCCACTGTCTAAGGGGTGTGATCCGAGAAACCGGACACCGCACCGCTGCTTTTCGGATCAGGCTCTGGGTAGCCTAAGGCTACGGTTGTGAATTTTCTTGCCTTGGCCTGGGCAACTGCGAACTTACTGTGATTTGGTTGGCAGTCTGAACTCGGATATGCGTGAGAACAACACAAGCAAGCACACGCGAGCGGCATGAACCGAGAAGTCGATCGTGTCTGCATCCAGGGGAATCTCGTCTAATAAATCATACTACCCATTATGAATCATAGTGTCAGTTCCAAACACTACATTATTCCGCATGTATTGCAGCTTGAATCGGGAGCTGAGGAAGTGGTCTCAGTTATTCGCACTTTTGCCTGTACAGATGAAACTATGGTGTAGTCTTACAGGTGACAAGTTTCCACGCTAGATTATAAGCTCATTCTGGCTGATGGAGTAGGTGCAAACATGGTTCCTACAAGATTGTGACTGTTTGTTTACACAACCATTAACCATGCACCATCGTGCGCCGGTTTCGCAATTTTTTGGCCACCGATTAGGATAAACGGGCATAATGAAGATTGGAATCCTTAGGGCCACTCCAAGTCCCAGGGCCAATTTTTACCACTGAGCAGATCCTCGTGACTATGGATTTCGTCCCTCTGCTGTTTATCACACTTAGGTGTGATAATAAGAGCAGGAGGAAGATGGAGACACTATAGACTAGGTACGCAAGAATATACATATATATTCACATGTCTGAATCCAAACTGTGCCAAACAAATCAAGGCACAATGTTTATAAAAACAAAACGTGCCATGAACTGCATGTGGGCTGAATACTGCCAGGTTTTCCAGGCCAAGGCAGGTGAATTCTCTTGAGGAATGCACAACTGGAAACCTTGGCTAGTCAAAGTCTGATCTGCAAGGCAGCAGGGCAGAGTGCGAAAACCGCAATCAATTGGGGGGGGGGGTCCAGTTCATCCGATAATACGCCCTTCGAACGCGACCAAACATCCAAGGTGCCCAATACACCTCGATCACTAACCGAGCCGGAGACCACGATCGGGAAGGTGGTTCGTACGACTCTTCTCGGTTGGTTTGGAATCAGGACTTTTGGTCAACTCCCCTTTGTGAACTACCATCCAGTTATAGCCCTGGATATCGGTTTTTTGTCTTTTCACTTCGGTGGCAAAACACCGCCGTGAGAAGGCAGTCAGTAGGGATCTACGTGACCTAATGACGAGCTTGCGGTTTTCATACTCTCATGTCAGATCTTCGCTTGAGAGGCCTCACAACAGCTATCTAAAACCGCAAACATCACTCGGCGTGGCAACCCATTTGGGAACATACGTACCAAGCGAGTTCGACTTGTTCACAGAGATGACCGCCACTACCCGAAGCCCAACGCCTAACCCAAGCAATGCGCCCCGGATTCCCCCACCAGAATCGTGTAATGCGACGTAAACAGCGATGTTCGAACCCCAGTAAACAATTTATGTCCTGAACCCGAAATGGTGATGTCTCTGCATCATACAGCAACACTGCGATAAACCCTGCAGCCCGAGCCGTCCCACAGACTGTGTTGAACGTTAATTTGTTGTTTCATAAAAATTTCCACGATTCAGTTCTATTGTGAGCTCTCACCAAGCTTAACCCTCGGAACATACACAGTGCTCTGTATTCATCTACATAACGCATGTTCGATGGGCTTATTTTAATTCACTTCTGATCTATTGGTCTATCCTGACGACGGCACTACACTTTAGGGGTGCTGGTGGCGCAGTGGTTTAGTCGCTGTCACCGCCGTGCTTTGGACCCTGTTGTCTG